ACTGGGCCTGCCCCTGCCCCTGGGCACCTTGAACCAGCCACCAACACCAGGTGTGGTGGTGCACGCCTGTAATCCCAGCACTGGGGAGGCTGAAAACAGGAGGATCATTGTGAGCCCAAGCTGCATAGTGAGACCATGTACTAAATAGATTAATAATAATAAAAATTTTTTTAAAAAGAGATGAGGATTATCTCTAAACCCCTGAGGAAACACAGTCTCAGTTAGTTAAGAGGTCTGAATAGAATTTTTCTCTTTTTTTTTTTTTTTTTTTTTTTTTGCGGAACCGGGGATTGAATTTAGGCCCTTGTGCTTGCCAGGCAAGTGCTTATTCTACTGAGCCATCTACCTGGCCCCTGGATAGGATAATTTTCTTTTCTTTTTTTTTTTTTTGCGGAACCGGGGATTAAATTCAGACACTTGGGCTTGCCAGGCCAAGCGCTTATTCTACTGAGCCATCTCCCCGGCCCCAGGATAATTTTCAAAGGCAAAAAGAAACTGTGAATCTGTATGTAAAGGAATACAGACACAGTTGTCTTTTAAATCCAATGCTGAAGACCCGGGGATATAGCTCGGCAGCAAAAGCGCCTGTCTGGCAAGTGCAAGGTGCTGAGTTTGACTCCTGATACCAAAAATTAATAAATAAAAAAATAGTAATACTAAAAATAAAATAAATTGATAAATCCAACGCTGAACACCAACTGACCTTTTCCAGGACCTGAGAAAGAAGGCTGTACAGACTAGGGACCACTGGGTAAATAGGCAGTACTGCCCAATTTACCAATCCGAGATCTTGTTCCAAGCACTCTCCATTGGGTTTTTTGATTTGTAAGACAGGAGCATTACAGGGGCTGCTCGAGGGTGTAAGTGGACCTTGTGCCCTTAGGTTGTCAGTTATAGGCAATAGTCCCCTTTTTAACTTTGGGCCTTAGGGTGTATTGTCTCTGGTGAGGAAAATTAGTGGTCATTAAGATGTATTGGTAGTGGGGCAGCTCTTAGTGCCCTCCTCGTTTTCTCTTTAGTCGCCCATACTTCAGGGTTTGCCTCCACCAGAGGAAGGCAACACTCCTGACCTAGGTACATGTATACAAGAGTCAGGATTTCCCCCCAGGAGGGGAACTGGACTTTCAGGCCTAATCCAAAATGGGAGAAAAGAAAGCCATCCCAGTTACAGCCTAAGGGATGTGACAACAGCACTTCCTCCTCCCCAGTGACTCTTCACTGAGGGTTGAGAAGAACTGAGACTCACACCTGTGTGCAGCATAGGCTGGTGGTTGTTTTTGTGTTTTTGTCTTTTTGAGACAGGGTCTTGCTATGCAGTTCAGGCTGGCCTTGAGTTCACTCTTGCCCAGGCTGGTCTCAAACTCAGCCTCAGTGTGCTGGGATTACAGGCGTGCACCACCACACCAGCTTCAGGCTGGCTTCTTTTCCCTCGGTAGTCATGATCACTCAGAGCTCCTCTGTGAAGATGCCAGCCCATGCAGAAGGCAGAGTGTGCCCTCCCCCCTGCCCCAGTGATACTGCACCAGCTAAGACGGGTCTGATCCCTCAGACCTCCATCCCCCACTTAGGCATGGCTCAGGGGGCCTTTTGTCCTAACAGTCTCCTCTCAGTGGCCCAGCTTTGCAAACTGGTAGCAGGTGACTTTGGGAGCTCTTCCTTGAGCTACAGGAACCTGGATTAAGAGTCTGTTCCTTTTAAGAATAAAACCAAGACAGCCACTTTTTCTTGTTTTTTTTCCCTACAGCTCCTCCTGGTCTCAATTATGAAATACTAAGGAGGCACTTCTCACTAAACTAGCAAGTCAACTATATGGAGCAAAATCATCTTCTATAGCTCTTTCCTTTCATCTGAGACTGACCAAATAATAAGCTTTTTTTTTTCCTTTTTTTCTAAGGCAGGGTCTCACTATGTAGTTCAGTCTGTCTTTGAATTATGTAACCAAGGCTGGCCTCAGACTCAGGCAATCCTCCTGTCTCAGCCTCTCAAGTGCTAGGATTACAGACACTTGATTACAGCCACCACACTGGTTAGTAAACTTGTCTCTAAAAACAATCTGTCCTACTGAATCAGGACCAGAGATGTATGCCTTTTCAGTGCCCCTTGTAAATGATCGAAGGATGCAAAGGAGTTCTCAACTTTCTCATGATCAACAGTTGACAACTGTAATTGAAAGCCTTGGTTCTCCTCCTTCTTAGACCTTCGAGAATATGTGTCTGATTCTATTCCACTGTCCTATCTACTTGGTGGGCCAGGAGGGAATCTTGGGTAGGAACTCCTTGGGCTCCAGCAGGAACCAGCTGTTCCTCTATCTCTGGCCTTCTAAATTTAACAGTGTGAAAATAAATAAATAAAAGTAAAACAAGCAAACAAACAAACAAACAAAAAAAAAAAAACAGTATGTTCAGCTCCCAGTGTAATGGCTGTTTGTAACACTGCTTCCTCTCTCACTAGCAGTCAACGCTGATTTAACGGTAACACAGGCTCCTTCCACCCTAACTCACACAGGTCTGGGTAAGTTCCCTAAAGACTTCCACATACTTATCAGGCTCATCTGATCATTTTCCCAGATCTTATTTGATTTTTGAGGTCACTGAGGGAAAAGGACACATGGACACTGGTAGGGCCAAATTCTCCACCTATCTCCCATACAGGATACTGTCCTTCAGGGGCTTGAGGAAATCAAGGATGGCGACAGCCTAAGAGAAGCTTCAGGGGAAGTTAGCTTGGAAACCTTGTCCTTGGTATCCAGAGGGCAAAGGAGGGGAACACTGGGCTCAGGAATGCGTCACGCTGGCCCTTAAGGGCCAGAGGTGTCTGGTTTTCCCAAGGCCTACACTACACTTGGAATCAAACAAGGATTCTTTAATGCAATGAAAGTCTGAAATGAGGTAATTCTGATCATATTCCCTTTCTCTCATAGTACAATTTCCTCTGCATTCCACTTTGCCTTTAGCGGGTAGGCAGGCCATGGGCAGAAAAATATTAAACAATTCTTTCTCAATATGTGAGGGTCAAATTCCAGCGCTTAAGAACACATTCCAAAGGAGCAAGAGAATTTGACATTGAGTTTTCCATCTCTTTCCAATTATGTTGCTGGAGCTTCCAAAATTATATAGGGGAAAAAAATGTAACTCCCAACCTGCTAGATGTCAGATACACCAGGTTCATGTTCCCCGAAATCAATGAATTCTAAAGAACAATGGAGGTTATGGGTAAATTTATTGAGAGAGAGCTCCAGACATGGGAGGGGACCCAGAAATGGATTGCCCTGTTTTCTTACATTTATTTATCTATTTATTTACTTATTTTGGTACCGGGGATCAGACTCAGGACTTTGTGATTGCCACACAGGTGTTTAAGCCACTGAGCTATCTCCCTGGCCCTGTTTTCTTACCTTTAAAACAGGAATATTCCAGCCTGCTTAGTGGTACATGCCTGTGATGCCAGCACTTTGGAGGCTGAGGCAGGAGGATTGCTAGTTTCAGGCTAACCTGGAGGAGGTAGCAAGACCTTGTCTACAAAAAAGAAAGAAAATGGGCATCATCCCAGGAGCAATTGCATCAAACTGGGAGTGGGATATAAAGGCTTGGCAAAGATCAGCTTTTCTGGTGCCCACCTCCAAGTGCCAAGGGATTTTATGAAAATATTTTATCTCCATCGCAAGCCTCGGGTCTGTGCTATCCTCTCCCCTTTCAGAAGGGAAACTGATGACTGGAGCATTACATCTCGAGCTTGAAGTCACACGGCCAAGCAAGAGGCAAGGACAGTCTTGAGCCCGGAAACCTTCCCTTCATAAGAGTGTATCTCCGCAGTACACTGGTGCTGATGGCTTTATTGAGAGGCACACTAAGGGCCGCGTAGAGCTGAAATTGAGCTGGTTCGAGAAATCAGAGAGAGCCTCCCTGGGAGGGTGACACTGGATCCGAGAACGGTGGGTGGCAACAATGTGGGCAGGAGAGAGAGAAGGCGTTCCAGGGGCCTTGCAAAGTGCCGGCGTCTCCCAGTCGCTGGCAGTGCCAAGGTGAGGCAGGGGCAAGCTGGGCACTGGCGGGGTCCCGCAAGCTCAGGGCTGGACGCGGCTGAACCCGCTGGCTACGTGATGTCCTGGTTCTCACCTGCCCCGTCCTAGCCCCAGCCGCTGTGCAGGGCCTGTGAGTACAGAGATCTCGGGGAAACCTGGTTTTTGTCTGTAGTCTGATGTGTGTCGCCACTGGCCATTCCCTGTTGTCCCAATCACTGGTTTATTCGCAATCCTATCACGGTTAGTGTCCTATTTATCGGTTTCCTAGCTCTCAGCTTGCCGCAAATTACAAAGTAAGCCCCTGAGAGCAGGACTTGCTTCTTTGGGGACGTATTTCCACTTCCATCACCTAGTACGGCGCCTGGCACACAGCAGGTTCTTCATAAATACTAGCTCCGATAAGCGAATAAAGGGATCGAGGAACGAAGGAAGGAACGAACGGGTGGCTGGATGAGAGAAAGCTTTTCCGGTGGCCTTCGGGCTCCCAAACCCGTCGGCTGCGCCCTCGGACCAGCAGCAATGGCTCTGGAAACAAGGCTCTCTGACCTGGGTTCAAATTCTAACGAAGCTACTTCATAGCTGAGTTCAAAGAAAACACTTAATCTCCCTCAGCGTCGATTTTCACGCCGATCCCGAACCTGTCGGGAGGTGACGAGGTAGATCCGAACGTGCCGCAGGCGAAACGGCGCCGCCTCGCACCTCCCGCTCTCCTTTCCCTCCCACACCCGACACCCCTGCGCTTCTCACCCAGCAGCCCGCACCTCCCGGAGCCCGAGCCGCGGAGACTCGCAGATCGCTGGGACCGGCGCAACCGGAAACCTCCGCGGGCACAGGCGGCCGGCCAGGGGCGCGCAGGTTCGCGGCGGCGGGCGG